GGGAAGGGAATCAACCTAAAGCCCCTGACTAAACCACCGAACAACCATCAGAGGGTAACACCTTTCACTGCCCTAGCAACTGAGACTTGCTGCTGACAGTGCTTGCTTAATACACCACAGGTGAGGAGAGCTCAGGATGTCATTTGTACAGCATGTAAAGGGAATGGTGGCATTATTTTAAATGTTACCAATGTCATCTGGGTTAAGAAAATGTAATGAAAAGTATCCCCTATGCATGAGACACAGGCACTTTTGAAATCCATTCTGGAAAGGATTTTAATTTCAATCCGAGACTTTAACTGCCCTTTAGCAGCATTTCCACTGACTTATCGGGGACTCACTTAGGCTTATATTGTATGTGACTTAATAGAGATTGTGCTTTGGAGGGAAATACAGGGGGGAGGGAGAATTAAGCGCAAGAGAAAATGTGGGGAGCTTATGATTTCCTTTGAGAAATATTGCCCATGAGATCCCCAGTTATACTTGTTTGGTGGTTATTTCTTTTTTTTGTGGGATTGTTTCACATGTGCCTCACCAAATTATTTGCCACAAGAGAGGCAGGGTAATGTGCCTAAGAGATTTAAGAGCTAATTGGGACTTGCACTCCTAAGCCCATTAACATTCTACCAGAAGTCTAGACCTAATGGGCTACATTTTCAGAATCTGGCTCCCATATTAGGAACCATTTTTTCACATTTTTCAGAAGTCCTGCAGTCAATAGGAGCAGCTGGCTGTTTCTGAAAATCAGGCCCCTTATGTAGGTTCCTAAATTTAGGCTCCTACTCTTGGAAGTCTTATCCAGAAGCTTTTCAGACCATCTCTATTACAAACTGCAGAGATGCCTCAATTTGTATTATGGTGTAGAGATGAGATGAATAGTTCCGGTTAGAACCATTTGGTTCCAAAGCAAAGCTGTGTGGGCCCATGCTAACAAACTGTGAGTGCAATACCCCCTGCTGTGAGAAGGAAGGCTTCTGGGCTGGCATATTTTTGTATTCTCAACCCTGAAGCATGAAAGAGCCAGAATAACAAACAGAAATAATACAATAAAAGATGCAAGTGAAATTAATGAAGTTAAATGAAGCAAGTTTTTATCCTTTTAGTGCAACACTGAGATGGAAGAATCTAAAATGCAGCCAGATTTAGTCCACAAGGAACTCACCAGAGGAGTCTATTTATTTACTTACTAGCAGATGTATCCGGCATTGCTCCGGTCTTTAACTAAAGGTTGTTTGGGGTATTTTTTTGGAAAATAAATGAAAAATGTACATGCTTGTACACTTTGGAAAATGTATTTTTCTAAAATGAAGGCTGCCGTGAGAATTCAGGGGTGAGGAGGAGAGGTGGGAGTGGGTGGTTTCGGGAAGAGGGTTGGCAGGTGTGGAGGGGACTCAAGATGGGTGGGGAGCTCAAAGCAGGGGGAGGGTAAGGGTGTGAGGTGCAGATGTCATGGGAGGTGCAAGACTTAGAGCCGGGGACTCAGGACAGGGAGCTGGGGAAGGGGCTTACAGTGGTCATCCATGGCAGCAAGCCTCCAATTTGCCCCCCCCCCCCGGTATGCAGTCTGTCTGGAGGGGAAAACTCTCTGGGCCCAGCCCCTGCCCTGCTGCTGCTCCCCCTCCTCCATCCTGCCAATGCTCCAAGGGTCCTTGTTTGGGGGCAGTGCCTCCCTTCCCCCTAGCCTGATGGAGGTGAGCAACCCTGGCCTCCAGCTGCCCCTGCCTTGCAGCTGGTCTGGGAGGTGGTGCCTCAGGGGCTATCCCAGCCTCCAGCACCCCCGCATCCTGCAGCCTCTTTGGGAGCGATGCTCCAGGAGCTGGCCAGGCTCCAGGAATTATCTGCTCTTCCACTAGCCTCCCTCTCCTCCCCCACCCCTGCAGGTTTTTGGAGAGACCAAGCTTCAGAGGGACCCCCCACAAAGCACCTATGGACCTCCACCCCCTGCGGCCAGCAGGCTGTCTGGGCAGGGGGAAAGAGGCTCTGTGGGCTGACCCTGGCCTGCAGCGTCCCATATTAAAAGCCAGCTCCCCACACACACCCCACCTGCGCGTCCTCATGTAACTGCTGAAAATTTCAGCAGATAAAAATGTATTTGCCAAAATGAATGTGAGCATCCCTAGTGGACTGCACTAGTAGCACAGGTGCTGAACTTGCCAGACACCTCTGTTCGAATACCCTTCCTCAGGCTAAGTCGCTCTTTGCCCCACAATGGCCCCAATTAGGCCAGGAGGGTTACTTGTGAAACAAGGTGCAACCGAGATAATTAAAGAAAACCCAAGCTGGTCCCCAGGTACTATCATTAGCAGCTAAGGAGATACACTTGGCCAAATATGTCCCTGGCAAAATGCCATTGTACTGTAGAATTTCCCCTGATGGAATCATCTCAACTGTTTAAAAAAAAAAAAAAAGTGTTTTCCTGTGGTCTCCTATTATGAGGTCTATGAGTGCTTTGGTCATCCATGAAATTGTAGTTGAAGTATCACTTCCTTAATTCTGCCTCTACCACAAGAATATCCCCAGTGTATATCCAAAATTCCTGTTCCTTTGCTTTTTTCCTTTTTGTCTCTTCTGAGACAAAATTGTGTCTATATTTAATGAAGACACATTCACGTCCTCTAAGTTTCCCAAGGTTAAAACAAATAATAATGAGATGTCCTTTGCTTTTACTGCATGTTCTACTAGAGTAATTTATCTCCTAATATTTGTAAGGTGACTCCATTAGCAAATTTAAGAAGTGCCTGGAGAAGATCTTTTAACCGTGGAGGTAATGTTTATGATAGCTGTCTGTTAATTACTTTGCATGCTTATCCTGTGCTGCTGATGCTTGGAGAAGATTTTTGTGAGCATCTTTTACATCTTTGCAGGTTAGAGTATGCATGTATGCACATCAGCTTTGGTGCCTATTTTCTGGATATAAATAAGCCATGCCAGGTCTTCTATGCTCCAAATAAAAGGAACTTTCTGTTTAAAAAAAACTTTTTCTAATAGCAAACATGTTTTTACTCCAAGTTAGGAAGACAAAGTACTGGTAGGTTAATTTAATTCAAGCAATTATTTTAGTTTTATCTCAACATTTACCATAGATCCTACACATACACTTGTAGTTTCTATACATACAGAACCATTCCACGACCTGGGTTGCACAGCTTTGCTATTCCTATAATATGACACAATTTGAAAAGGTGTGTTAAATGTAGGCGTCTTAGCAAACTGACAGAGCCCTGTCCAGATTCATTAACAACCTTTACAGAATTTATAATCAAGCTGAATCTATTTTTTGGCTTGCACACTATATGCCTATCAATAATGTCTGGCCCCAGTTCCAAATGGAACAATAAATAACAACAATGTATCTTATATGACCAAGATCAATGTGTTAAAAGACCTCACACCAAACACACACAAACTCACTTCAGAAATGGTCAATTTTTCAAAAGAGACAAAGTGCCAAATTTTCAGAGATATTTAGAAACCTAATGGCATTTTTCCAAAGCACTCATGTGCCTCAACTTTTATTGATTTCAGTGGGAATTAGGGAGTTCAAGGCTGTTGGAAAGCTTAGGCCCCAATCCTGAAAAAAAACATATGCACATGCTTTATCAGTGGGACTACTCGTAGGAGCAAAATGATTGCAGGATTGAGCCGACAGGTTCTTTCGACCGTGTTACCCACACTTAACAAGACAGACCTTACGAATTGGACTTTGTTGGGGAAAAAGTTCTAGGGGGTAGCCCTGGTTCCTCTGAAGTCAACAGAGCCAAAATTGCAATGCTAGTACCAGGATTTCAACTGCAAAGCCAAGAACCTCCCAAGAGAGCTAAGATTTCAACCTACAAGCAAAGACTGCTAATTGAGAACACGCAAACTCCAGAGCCTCCATAGTGTTCAAATCTAGGTCCATTAGAGAGAACATCCCAGCTGACTGTGTTTGCCAGGACAGTGTGTAACAGAGACAAAGCAACAACCATATTGGGCTATATAGATTAAAATCATTATCCTGAATTGCATCCAGAATCAAACTGGTAACCAGGACAACCTGCATAAGAGTAGAGTTATACATGTTGCACACTAAATGCCACTAAGCAAGCATGCTACAGCATTTTCCACTCACTGAAATATTGGCATGGTCTTCAAATGTGTACCAAGTGTTCTTCTAAAACAGAGTGACCCTCAGTACTTCCAACATGTCAATAACACATGGCACAGGACATTATGGCAAGGCCTGCTCACAGCCCTCTAGATAACTCTCAGATGTGTACATAAAGCACTCCCAATCTCAGGAGTCAATTTATAACATGCGCCAAACATTTTCTCATGGTTACTTTAGAGTGTTCTTCTTGGACGAGTCCATAAAAGGAGCACACACACAAAAAAAGACATGATCTGAGAAAAGAGCCTACCTTTGCCTTGCTCAGGATGAAAATGTGGGTAATCCAACCTGCCTCAATTTATTTCATACAAAATATTATAAAAAAATCCCATGCTACAGTGCATTACCAACAGAACTGTCACTGCACTCCTTGGAAGTATACCACCGCTGTTGTCTCTATTCTGGCAGGCTGGGGAAACTGAGGCAGAGAGGCAACAGTGACTTGCTCAAGGCTGCAAAATAAAAAGCTGGAGGAAATGGAATTCGGACTCAGAAATAGCTGACTCTCCATTACATGCTCAAGCCACTACATTGCCTGCAGTGGAAGTGGGATAATGAATGGAATTAGCTGAATATAAAATGATCACTTAGTAAAATAACAATTGTGCAGTCTATTCAGCACAATAAGCTTTTAATTGCTGTTTTAAAAAAAAACCAAACCCACAGACCATCTCCAGCTCCTCACCTGTGTTCTGAATGAACATGTCAAGCCAATTTTCATTTAGGAGAATCATTAAAATATATCTGCATCTTTACATTCAGATTGTGTGAGAGAGAGAGAGATGGAAACGATTCTCTATTTATACACAGACATTTGGTCCAGACTACGGAACGGAAAACGCAAACTCACATGGTGCGTGAAACATCACTAGTACAGAAGAATGCTCCCTGATAAACTTGTCAAAGTCTTCATCCGTCAGATGATAAACAGCATTCTCCTCATCTGCCCAGGGAGTCTCAGGGGCCTGTGGCTGAGGCGGCAGGGGACTATAAAACAAACATATGCAGTTGAGAGGAAGATCTTCTGTGTTAAATAGTAATCACGTCAGCCAACCAGATTGCAGGAAAACAATCTGATTGTGCAAACACCAAAGCATGACAGGCTAACCCCGCCAAATGGAGTTCTGTAATTGGTTCCACTCTGAGCTGATAAGCAGTGAAACCTAGATAAAACAGGGAGGGAAAGAAAAATCCATCATGAGCAGAAAGGGCTGAGCAGGGAGATAAACAGAGATGCTTCGTTATTTCATTATAATATAAAATGCATTTTTTTAAACTATTTGAGCCAGCTCAGCAGAACGCGCTTTTCCTGTTCTCCCAGCATTAGCTAGTGTTCACCTTCACAAATGCCCCAATGCAGATGAAAAGAGAGTAGCAAATGTAAAACAGCCCTTCTAACAGAAAGCACATTGCTGGATTTAGTGCTTGTATGCAGAGATAAAATAAAAAGGGTGGTCTGGAGACTTGGTGCCAAGACTCTAGTGATCTGTGGCCCCATCTGAGTAGCCCCCAAATATTTAATGGATTTATCCTCAATACCTCTGAAAGACAATATCACCCCATCTTACAAATTGGGCATTTATACTCTGATTCAGCAAGGTACTCAGACACTTAGGGTGTGTCTAGACTACATGCCTCCTTCGACGGAGGCATGTAGATTAGCCAGATCGGAAG